GGGCGCTCCCGGCCCCGCGGGCCTGCCCTGCACCCTGAGCCGCAGCTCACGAGGGCTGATTTGCAGAGACATTGCAGACGGACGAAAGAACCCGCCTAACCCGAGGTTTTGTGGTTCTGTCTGTTTTAAGGGACTCCTTTCAGGAATTCTTTTGGTGCTTCTCGGGGAGAGGTGGACGTCTCATTTTAATTTAAATATGTTTTCTCTTAATTCTACACTGTAAAAGGTCAGGATTGACAAGCCGGGTTGAAACATAGGAGAACTGCCTAAAATGTACGTTAAAATCTGCTTCAATTTCGACATAAAGTAACTAGGCATGCCTTTTAAAATTTGAAGCGTGGGCTCTGTGAAATTCATTCCTTTTAAAATTTGAAGCGGAGCTCTTGTCTCCGTGAAATTTGATAGACGATTTCATATAATTTCCCTGTTAAAAATGGGATACAATATATTTGCAAAGCCTTTAGAGAAAGACTTGCTTTTTTTTTTTGTCTTTTTGAGACAAGGTCTGCTATGGAGTTCAGACTGGCCTTGAGCTCACTTTGTAGCCCAGGCTGGTCTTGAACTCGCAGCGATCCTCCTGCCTCAGCCTGCCGAGTGCTGGGATTACAGGTGTGCGCCACCACACCCGGATTGCCTAGATTATTATATTAAAATAAATTTTATTTTTTTTTTGCAAAGCCAGTGCATTTAAATCGAAGGAGAACGATCTTCTCATTAAGAAATTATTCCACTAAACTTTTTACTGGTTCAGCGTCTCACTGCATCTAAAGACCTGAGACCTGGGTTGCAAAGCGACCAAACTCCAACTCAGCACGTTTCTTATTTTTATTATTTAATTTTGAGACAGGGTTTTGGCAACTGTCTACGTTCCCCAGGCTGGACTCAAATTTGGGATCTTTCTCAGCCTCCTACGTCTGTCATAAATAAAGTACAGTGGTTTTTGGTGCAACTCTTTGCCAACACAAGAGTTTTCCTGTGCAAGGTTTCCACCCACAGATTTAAGGCCTCCTTATTGGGGAGGGATGCTGGGGGTCCGACCCTGGACCTCACACACTCAAAGTCAGTGCTGGCTACCAGTGAGCTGTATCCCTGGACATTTCTACTTAAGACTGGAACTAACTCAACAGCCGTTCTGTTAGCCAGTTTGATTTCTTTAGCCCTGTAGATTATTGGGGAGAATTCTTTATGTCGCTTTGTATGACAGCTTCTCTCTTGCTCTTCACTAGATTTTAAAACTAACCTTAAACAATGTAAAAATGTTTTAAAATGCAGTTTGCGATGTGTTCATTGTGGTCTCGTTTCAACAGGTACCTGCTTGCTGGCAGGGACGTGCTCAGTGCTCACACACACAGCCCGTCAAGTCGGAAGACGGAAGGCTGATTTATAC